GTGAAAATGTATTTAACACTACTGAACTGTACATGGTTAATATGGTAAACTTTATTATGTGTATTTTACTACAACTTTAAAAAAGTTTGGAAATTGCTAGTTAGCATTATATGCTTTATCCTGCATATTTTCTATTAGGAATCAGGGATTGTATATATTGATTGGGAATAAGTAGTTGAAATATGGAATCCTGTCCTCATGATTAATAAATGCATATATTTTTTAAACTTCCTTGATCTTATATTCGTTTCCAGCTACCATTCTCTCTCCTGTCCCTTGTGGACAACCAATGTTGATTGGAAGTGGTAGCACCTTTGTATTCATTCCTTGTTATTTTACCTGGTCTGCCTGCCTCTTTTACTGGGCATAGTGGCTCCCTGAAGGCAGAGTGCCTGTCTTGAAACTCCTTTAGATCCCCTGTCTCAGCTCAGTACCATGGCTACTGCAAGTGCTCCATCTTTGATTCATACTCTATACTGGATGAAATCATATATTTTCAACACATTTCTTCATATTCTTTTCTTACAACAAATATTTATTGCGTTGTAGTGGAAGGTGAATAAAATACAGTGTGTGCCTTCAGGAGCTTAAAATCTAACTGTACTTACTTCTTACTCTCCCACCCCACCTTTACCATTTCCAAAAAGGATTTGGTGTAGTTCTCTTCTAATAAGGAGGGTTAAATTTCTATGTAAGTTACTATAGGGGTGCTAGAGTGAAAAAAGTGATAAGGCATGAAACGCCAACCGCTTCACAATGCATTTTGCATATTTCTTATGAACATGGCAGGTTTTCTGTAGGAAAATATCAGGAGATTAGAGTGGAATGATGAGTTGGGACAACATAGTGGAATGCCTTGAATGTTAAAAGAGCATGACTTATTAAGAGGCTGGTGGGAAGCAGGGGGCTGCTCAGAGCTAGGTTTTTAAGAATGTTAATCTGGCTGCTCTGTGGCCCTGGAGAAAGAGCTAACTGAAGGCAAGGAGCAGTAAGGAGACTATTTAAGGTGCACAGATAAGAAGTAACAAGAGCTTGCTCGAAGGTTGGCAAAAGACATGACCATGGGGAAAGGCACCATGGAGAGAAAAACCCAATGTGCCTTGGTGATGAAAGGTAGCTGGATGAAGGGGAGAAATCAGAGATAACTGTAATAGCCTTCGTCATTAACACAAATAGGAAATGAGTGGTTTGGGGGAGGAAAATGATGAATTTTGCCTTGGATATTATACTAATTATCTAGTGCTCTGTAACAAATTGTCATAGAATTTAGCAGCTTAAGACAACAAACATTATCTCACACAGTTTCTGAGAGGAATCCAGAAGCAGCTTAGCTTAGATGTTGGCCAGGGCTACAGTCATATGAAAACTCAACTGGGCCTGGAGGATCTGCTTCCAAAATCTCTCTTTCACTGTAGTTCCTTGCTGGCTGCTGGCAGGAGGCCACCGTAGGGCTACTTGAGTGTCCTCACAATATGGCAGCTGGCTTTCCCCAGAGTGAGTGATCTAAGAGAGCAAGCCAGGAAGAGGCTGCAATGCCTTTTATAACCTAGTCATAGAAGTACATGCCATCCTTCTGCCATAATTTATTCATTAGAAGGGAGTCACTATATCTAGCCCATATTCAAGGGGGAGGTTAGGCACCACCTTTTGAAGGGAAGAGTATTGAAGAATTTATGGACATTTTTAAAAAACATCATAGATATATTGTGTTTTGAGGACAAATGGAATGAGCATTCCAAGGAAAATGTCAGGAGAAAGGAATTGGGAGCTTTAGAGAGCCAAGTTGCTTACGTATGGAAGTATGTGACAGCTGGAGCAGAAAATATTGAAGATGGAGAACTTCTCCAGGTTAGATTCTTAATGATCTCTCTCAAACAGTCTCATTATTAATGGTCATTGTTCCCTTCCCCAAATTATATTATTCCATATATTTTAACTTTTTAAAAACAGGTTTCCATTTTTAATTTCTTATTTTGTTTTCCTTCAAAGCTTCTTATCAGGAAAAATTTCAAAGTTATAGAAAAGTTGAAAGACTAATGTCCGTATGTTTACCATCTGGATTCAGTAATTGCTGACAATTTGACTTATTTGCTCTACCTATGTATCTATGTATGTATCTACCTATCTGTCTATCCATCTGAATATTCTTCTGAACTATTTATTAAGTGTCATTCTTTGGTAAAGAAGGGTTTTCCCTCTACGTTGGGATAAACTACAGGTTCTCTTCAAAAGGCAGAGTACAGGTTTAATTCTTTTCCCCTAATTGCTAATTTTCAGAGTGAGGAACTGATACAGTGGTAGCAGATGATTCTCTTTTTCTTTTCCTCTTTTTTTGAACATCACTATGGACTCATAGTCCAAAGGGTAAAAAGCATATGTAATTTTGCTATTTATTGCCAAATACCCATGGAAGTTGTGCCATTTTGCACTCTCACCAGCAATGTAGGAGCAAGTCCATGTTTTTTCCATGACCTTTCCAAGAGAGTCTGTCGTCAAACATTTGAATTTTTTGGGCTTCCCTGGTGGCGCAATGGTTGAGAGTCCACCTGCAGATGCAGGGGACATGGGTTTGTGCCCTGGTCCGGGAAGATCCCACATGCTGCAGAGCGGCTGGGCCCGTGAGCCATGGCCGCTGAGCTTGCGCGTCCGGAGCCTCTCCACAACGGGAGAGGCCACAACAGTGAGAGGCCCGCGTACCGCAAAAAAAAAAAAAAAAAAAAAAATTGAATTTTTGGCAAACATAAGTGAGAAATGGTATCTTGGTGCAGTTTAATTTGTATCTCTTTATTGAACAAGGTTGAACATATTTTTATGTGTTTTAAGAGCCATTTGCCTTCCTTTTCCTGTGTTCTGTTTGTGTTTTTTGCCTATTTTTCTAATGAATATTTGGGGGGTTTTTTCCATCTTAATTTAAGAGTTCTCGCTATATACCAGAGAAATTAGCCCTTTGTTTCTAATATAAGTTGGGAGTATTTTTTTTCCAATTTGTCATTACTCTTTTGACTTACGGTGTTTTTATGATATGCAGATGTTTACTTTCATGAGTTTATGTACTTTTATGTACATTTTAAAATTGCATCTGGATTTTGAGTCATAGTTAAGAAGATTGTCCCCACACCCATGTTATAATGGGATTTATCTACATTTGCTTCTAGTACCTGTGCAGCCCCTGTTCCTCGCCCATTCCTGTCTTACCCCTTCTCCTATCCTCCTCCCTCTCCTTCCTCTTTCCAGTTCTCTCAACATTCGGGTCTTTAACATTTGGAGTTTACTCTGGCATACATTCTTTTTCCAATGATAATTCTGTTGTCCAATGTTTTCCTAGAGATTTGAGATACCACCTTTATCCTATGACAAATTTCCAAAAACTTTTGACTTTTTTTAATATTTATTTATTATTATTTTTGCTCTGTCAGGTCTTAGTTGTGGCACGAGGGATCTTTCATTGTGGTGCACGGGCTTCTGTCTAGTTGTGGCGAGTGGGCTCCAGAGCGCACGGTCTCAGTAGTTGTGGCGCATGGGCTTTGTTGCCCCGCAGCATGTGGGATCTTACTTCCCCGACTAGCGATTGAACCTGCGTTCCCTTCATTGGAAGGCAGATTCTTAACCACTGGACCACCAGGGAAATCCCTTGAGTTTTTGAATTTGCTGTTTTAGGATTTTCTGTTCTATTGCATAGCAATCTGGGTCCAATCAGGAGATAGAAACTACACAGTAGGTTCAACAGGGGAAGTCTAATGTAAGAATTACCAACTATGATGAGAGATTAAGTATAAGATATAAGAAACTTTACATGGAGCTGAGGTAGACTACCCAAAGATGGACAAACTTGGGGGATTCAGACCTCCTTGGAAAAAAATGGTTTGGCCACTAATTAGCAGAAATGTTAACTGTGTAGCTGGACGAAAGTGGTCTGGAGTTGCAGGTGGGGAGCGGGTGATCAGCAGCTGGTGGTGTGGGCCCTGGGAGTCCAGGTGCCCGTGGGGGCAGAAGACCTTCAGAGTGTGCATGTGCTGGTGATGAAACTTGTACAAGGAACAACTTCTGTGTAACTCCTCAGGCCATAGTCTGAACAGGTGATTGCAGAAAGATTCTCGCCGTGCCAGGGCTACAAGTTTGCAGTGGGACCTCATTCTGGACTTATGGCTGGCATAGGCTCCACTGGATGTTCTCACACCCACACTGCCAGCCTCTGCCCCTGCCAGAAATCACTGTGACCTCTTCCTTCTGCAGTGTCCCTGCAGTGCCTCAACTGCGAAAGCTTAGCACTGGGCTCAGTTTAAATGCTTAAGGAATTCCATTGCTATAGAACATATACTGAAGGGTGTATTAGGTGAAAGGCAATAAATTGATCATTGATACAGGTACATTGGCCTGTCTATTCCTTTTTTATTATTGGCTATTCATAGTGTGTTTGAAGATCTGTTATTGCTAGTCCTGCTCATTGATCTGCTCTTTCAGGGTTTTCCTGCTTATTTTTCTGTAAGAATTTAAAAAGGAACTTATCTAGTTCAAAAAAAAAAAAAAAAAGAAAACTGGTTGGCATGGCATTTTGATTTAATCTGTGTTTTCTATTTTTAATTTTTATTTATTTATTTATTTTTTGCCATGCCATGTGGCTTGTGGGATCTCAGTTCCTAGGGATTGAACCCAGGCCACAGCAGTGAATGTCCAGAATTCTAACCACTGGGCAACCATGGAACTCCCTGTGTTTTTTAAGTTTTAAAAGCACTTTATATTAAATTCTCATGGTAAAAAAATTATCATGGTTAACAACAAAAGCATTATGGAAGTGAATGAAGTAGAAAATGAGTTCCATGCCTTACCTTCCTACCCCTCTGAGGTTAATATTTTTGTGTATATTTTTCAGGATGTATTTCTAGGCCCATACAAGTGTGTGTGTGTGTGTGTGTGTGTGTGTGTTTAATAATAATATGTCAACCTTTTTAATAGTATGCTTGTATCTGTAACTTAGAAATGTCTTTTTTTTTTCTTCACAGCCATACCTGTCTATGATTCTTTGAGAACATTATAATGTCCCTTTGTGCCTCTTCTCACAAGGAGTTTTCCTAGATGTTACCTATTCAAGACATGGATATCAAAAACTCACCATCTAGCCTTAACTCTCCTGTCTCCTACAACTGCAGTCAATCCATCCTACCCCTGGAGCCAGGCCCTATATATATACCTTCCTCCTATGTAGAGAGCCACCATGAATATTCAGCCATGACATTCTATAGCCCTGCCGTGATGAATTACAGTATTCCCAATAACTCGGAAGGTGGGCCTGGTCGACAGACCACAAGCCCAAATGTATTGTGGCCAACTCCTGGGCACCTCTCTCCTTTAGCCATCCACTGCCAGTCGTCACTTCTGTATGCAGAACCTCAAAAGAGTCCTTGGTGTGAAACGAGATCATTAGAACACACCTTACCTGGGAACAGGTAAATCCAGTCTTCATTCTGAATTGTAGTTCATGGCCATTATTCAGATTGCTTTATGATTTAGTGAAAAGAAAGATATGTGTTATACAAGGTCTTCATTATTACATAGATCAAATAGAGCACCTAAAACATCTGATATTCTGAATTCTAGAATATCTAATCTGATATTCTAGTTCTTACTAAAAAGTTGAGCTTACAGATCTGTGTTTTGGGGGGAGAATTCACTATCATGACTACTGTCTTTAGAAACTAAAGAATTTAACTTAAATCACTTTCTTCTTGATGAAGTGATTTGGGTTTGAAAAAGAAATTTTTACTTTCAAGTTAGATCCTTCTTATCTTGCAGTGAAATCACAATTTAGTGTTCATGACAAATTGTGTCCAAGATAAAAGTAACTGTCGGTATTACAACTTAATGAAATACTAGACAGGTGAAGCCTGAAAAGACAAACATAGGTACAAGCTTTTAAACAATGAACTAAAATAATTTTTTTTTTTTTTTTCTTTTGTGGTACGTGGGCCTCTCACTGTTGTGGCCTCTCCCGTTGCGGAGCACAGGCTCCGGACGCGCAGGCTTAGCGGCCAAGGCTCACGGGCCCAGCCGCTCTGCAGCATGTGGGATCTTCCCGGACCGGGGCACGAACCCGTGTCCCCTGCATCGGCAGGCGGACTCTCAACCACTGCGCCACCAGGGAAGCCCAATAATAACATTTTATAAAGATTGATGGGAAACTATTTAAATGTGGAACTTTTTAGTTGAACTTTCTTAAACTCTAAGGGCAAGGTAATATAATGGGTTATTTCCATTCAATTTGTAATGTTTTTTTTTTTTGGCTTCTCTGCGCGGCTTGTGGGATCTTAGTTCCCTGACCAGGGATCAAACCCAGATCTTTTTAATGATAATTATGGCTACAGAGAGCAGAGGTAGTATGGGGAGAAGCATGAAGGGGAGATAAATTTCCAAAACAACCAAAGTACTAAGTTACAGCATATTTGATATTGAAATGTATTACTTTCAAATATCATAAAACTTTGAGAAAGCCGTATTACACAGTAATTTTATTTTTCTTCTTTAAAAAAATACTTCTTGTTTGTTGGTAAAAGAGAATATGAAAATTATAGATAACTTTTTAAAAATAATGTTTTCTCATTCAGTGTTTAAAGGAAGAAATATTTTGTTTCTGAACACAAGTTCTAATCAGAGTTCTGCTAATATTTGGGTAAATTAAACCATAGTATAATTACCTTAATTTATATATAATCGTACTTCTACTATTTCCTTTCCAAAAGAAACATGCCATAGCAAAATTAGGAACTAACCAGGTGTTTTTGGTGCCTGTTGGTGCTCCCTTGTGGGCTTTCCCTTCCTCTGTGGAAGCCCTGGCCCTCACTCTACCCAGCATTGAACACCTTCCTCCAAAGCCTTCTCAAAGGACAGGTACATGTTCACGCTCTCCCCTTCTCTTCTCTCTTCTTCCTCTCTTCCCTTTTCTTCTCCCCACCATTTCCACCCAGACTGGATCTGGTCACTTATTACACTCAAAGTTGTACACCCTGATGGCTACAGCTGGCCATCCATGGTTACTGGTGCTCATCAGCACTGCATGGATGGGCATAAACTTGCTTAACCACTTTCGGGCATCAGTCATCCCAACAGGGTGACTCTTCATAGATCTGATATCAGTAACAAAGGTTTTGCTTGATCAGATTTCTTGGAATATATTTATCATGAACCCTTGAGGGCAAAGAGATAAATTAGGCAATGTTCATGCTGTTCGTTTTTCTAGAAAGGCCCTGTTTTATCTTTAATGCTCTTTTACAATGAATGTTTTCTTTGCCCCTAGAGAGACATTGAAAAGGAAGGCTAGTGGAAGCAGTTGTGCCAGCCCTGTTACTAGTCCAAGTTCAAAGAGGGATGCCCACTTCTGTGCAGTCTGCAGCGATTATGCATCGGGATATCACTATGGAGTCTGGTCGTGTGAAGGATGTAAGGCCTTTTTTAAAAGAAGCATTCAAGGTACAAGAGTATTGTTAGCTGCTTCTTTAGTTTTCCACTTTTGCTTTTAAACAAGTTTTCAGATGACCTGGCAGAAATTTCACCTTTGGCCTGCTTTGTACACAGAGTACTTGATGAGCAGTTCAGAGGATCATGTGTGTTTGCGGGTGGGGTGGATTGTTTCAAGTGTAGAGTACTTTATCTTTCATTGCAGATCTCTACCCCAGAACCCAAATAGGTCTCACCCCATCATCACCCATCGCCATCTTCTTGGGAGAAGACGTCTACCTACAACCCTTGTGAAGATAAAGCTTGCCAAAAAAATGTGTGCTCATTAGGAACTGCAAAGATTGTTTCTTCCTTTGTCTTATGTTTAATATCTGGCATAAGTAACAGTCACAATGGTGGGCTGACTCCCGAGGAAGAGAGAATAAACATGTTTTACGGAAATGATCAGAAGTCAGTAGTTCAACTCCAGTGGTCTCTGAGAATTTATCTAGAGGCATGTCTTGCCCTGAACTAGTGGAACCTCCTTCCCAATCCCGTTTCCTGGTCTGAGTTTAGACTATTTCCCTACCCTTCTCCAAATTTCTGCTGGGCTGGGTTTTTGTTTGTTTGTTTGTTTTAGTGGCCTTTTTAATCAGTCTCAAGCTGTGCACACCTGGTTTCAAGGCCAGTCAGCCCCTTACCACACATGTCCTTGCTGGCCCTAATTTGCTGAAGGCACTTTCCTGACTCGTGCTCTTGGCTGTCTCTCTGCCCCTTAACCCCTCCCTTGCCAGCTACTCCCAGACAATGTCCTATGTTCCCATCTCAGAGCTCCCTTCCCTTTTCTGCCAAGGCCTCAGTGCCTTGTTCTTATCCGGTTAAGGAAAGCAACCTTAAAGCAATTCATAGTGTGCAAGGGGCAAACGGTAATTTACTGAGTTAATTCACCCAATGATAACTCTACATTAAGAGAGCATTTTACCTCGAGCAGAGAAGCTGATGTAATCCAGAGGGAGGTGAGGGGTAGAATGTTGGTAGATAAGGAATCACCTTCCTCTGAGTCCCCTGAAATTCACCCTTCATAGATGACCACCTGTTTATTCTGGACTCTCCACTTAGTAGCTCTGTGGCTTTACTTCCCAGCCTGTTTGCTCGTCTGTGTAATGGAGATGCAGAGTTGTTCTAAAAAGGAAATGAGGTTGCTTATGTGAAAATATTTGGTCAGTTGTAAACAACCTGCAAATTCAAGTCATTCTAGTTTCTCTTTTAACTCTTCTGTTTTCAGTTTAGATATCAACGTCTTTTCTTTCTTCCTTGTATTTCTCTTCTAATCCTAATCTCATTTAAACCCTCCTCCTCCAAAATCTTCATAGTTAGGTGGATGAGGGCCCTCTGCCATTTCCAAACTTTTCTTACCGAAAGGAAAAACAGCACAAAGGAAGCTGATGTCTTCAAATATTATCAAAACATAAATCACGGTTGCTTATTTTTACTTTTGCATACACAGAGCTTTTCATTCTATGTTTAACATATTCAGTGCTTAAAATTTTTTGTTTATGATCATTGTACTAGTAGATTATAAGGCCAGGTCCAGTTTCCTGCGATATATGATAAGAACGATTCAGATTTTCTGAAATTCAGAACCAAACTCTTGATATGATGACAATTCTCTATCTTGTTGAGGTTCTAGAATTTTATCTCCTAAGGAAATTTTGACCCAAAACAGCTAACTACATCCTTAAAAAAGAGAATTCTTATTTGCTGTTTGGGAAAAATCTCTGCATGGAATATCTTTCATGATACTTCATGAACCCTGAGACTGTAGCTGAAAACAATAAAACGTAAGTTTCCTGTGCTTTCCCCATGTCATTCTTTCCTACTGCATCCGCAGAGGAACTACTGGGAAAGGGAAAAGGAGTGTCATATCCTAAAAATGCAAATGGGAAAGAGTTAGTGCTCTTACAATTGCTTCATGCCTAAATGATTATTTCTTTGGACTCTTCATATTTTTGGTGCCCTCTGGTATAAATGCATTGCAATAACTGAAAGTGGCTACTCAATTTTTTTGGTATGTTGAATGAAATAAGAATCAAATATATTTTCATAAATTGTCAATTTTATCCACATTGTTTTATTGAATAAATCCATTTTCATTGTTTTTTTTAATATAGGAGCTTAATTTTTTGAGATATAATTTACATACAGTAAAATGCCCCTATTCTATTTTTATAGTTTTATGAATTTTGAAAATACATGTAGTCATGTAACCACCACCATAATTAAGATATGGAGCATTACTATAACTGCAAAATATTCCTTCATGCCCATTGTAGCCAATTTCACCCCAACCTTCCAGGCTCTGGTGACTCTTGATCTATTTTCTGTCCCTATAGTTTTGCCTTTTCTAGAATGTCATATAATTGAATCTTAAAGTATGTAACCATTTATGTATGGTTTCTTGCACTTATCATGTTGCTTTTAAGATATATCTGTGTTGTTGGATGCATTAGTAGTTCATTCCTTTTTGTTACTAATATTCCAGTAGGTGTGCCCCATTTTGTTTATTTGTTCATTTGAGTTGTTTCTAGTTTTGTGCTATTTTAAGTAAAAGTGCTATGAACATTTATGCATATCTCTCAGTGTAGACATCTTTTTGTTTCTTTTGGGTAAATATCTATGAGTAAAATGGCTGGTTGTATGATAAGCTAATGTATGTTTAGCTTTATAAGAAACTAACAAACTGTTTTCCAAAGTGGTTGAACCATTTTGTATTCTCAACAGCAATGTATGAGAGTTCTGGTTGATCCATGTCCTTATCAAAACTTGATATTGTCAGTCTTTTAAAGTTTAGCCATTCCATTTATATTGGTATGTAGTTCTATCTCACTGTGGTTTTATTTTGCATTTTCTGATTACTGACGATTTTGAGCACCTTTTCTTGTGTTCATTAATTTTTTTCTATGTATATGATATATATTAAGTTCTATATACACTAGTGTTTAGTCTGACTGTTCTGTTGATCTATCTCTTCATTCTTGTATAAGTATCACATTATTTTAAGTATTATAGTTTTATAATGAATTTTAATACATGCCAGTATAAATTCCTCCTATATTAAAAATGTCCTGGCTATTTTCTCATGTTTATTTGTCCACAGGAACATTAAAATAATTTTATTAAGTGACCTCCCATCCTTAATGTTAAGAAAAGTGGATATTTTATTAAACCTAAGAATTATTTTGAAAGGAAGCTCTGTAATAGTCTTCACATCAGGAAACACGTTGACTCCATTTATTTAGGTCTTTTACATCTCTTATAAAATTTGGGGGTTTTTTGATATGTATTTGGTCCATTTCTTCATGTTATTTCCATAAAGTTCATCCTTCTGGCTATTTATTTTATATCCACATATAATAGTAATGATACTACTATACTATGCACTTTCATTTTGGTATTTATAATAACCTTTTATCATTGTCATTTGAAAGTTAAAATCCATTTGACTGCTGCTCATGAATCTTCAACTCTTTATTTCTTAAGACATTATAGGCTAAGCTTTAAATGGGAAGCTGTAGCAGCCCATAGGTTGTGTAAAAGATTCTTACCTTCAAGGCATATATTCCATTACTTGGGACTTATTTGGTCTTGAACTCAAGAAGGGTATCCTGAGGGAAGAAACAACAAGGTAGATGCTTGCTATTGAAGTATAAGAATGCCAGGGAGGGTATGGGTAATAATTGCTCTGCTTTTTTCTTTTTTTTTAAGAGCTACATTATTTTATTTTATTTTTAAAAAAATGTATTTATTTATTGGCTGCATTGGGTCTTTGTTGCTGTGTGCGGGCTTTCTCTAGTTGTGACAAGTGGGGGCTGCTCTTTGTTGTGGTGCGTGGGCTTCTCATTGCTGTGGCTTCTCTCTGTTGCGGATCACGGGGCTCTAGGCACACGGGCTTCAGCAGTTGTGGCACGCGGGCTCAGTAGTTGTGGTGCACGGGCTTAGTTGCTCCGCGGCATGTGAGATCTTCCTGGATCGGGCCTCGAACCTGTGTTCCCTGCATTGGCAGGCAGATTCTAAACTGCTGCGCCACTAGGGAAGTCCCTAATTGCTCTGTTTTTAAAATAAGAAAACCGGGAGGCTGAGCTGATATTAAAGTCAGGTCTTCTGATTTCAAGTCCAGTGCTGTCTCTTCCCTCCATGCAGTTGGATATGAATGATAATACATATTCAGACAGTCTCAATAATTTTGCAGAGAACAAAGATAACCTTTTATGTTTTGTATTATAAAAAGCATATTTTCCTGTAAAGTTTTATATGTTAACTAAAAGAATTAGCTTCGTATTTTGCCTTTAATTTTGCTTTGAACTTTTCTCTGAGTTCTGTTAGTGTGGAGTAGCAGACTGTTGCATGGAACAAGAAAGCCATTTTAATACATGGGGTGTTTGGTGCAGTTCAAAGAGGACTTTTTTCTTTTTGCCAGAAATGAAGTGAATTACCATGACCTTCTTGCATAAGACATTTTCTAGGCTATTTTATTGAGCATGTTCATATTATTGTGATTTCGGATCCTTTTTTAAAAGTAAAATGACCTTTTACAGTAAACTCTGAGAGAAAAATAAAAGCCGACCTCTACTTGTCCCTTAAATGCTTATTGTTATGAACCTCCTTTTAAAACCAATAAGGATGACATCATATATAGTTCTTAGAGGTTTTAGAAGATACTTAAAAGATTGCTTCTGCTATGGAAAGTGCTGTGGGATTACATTTATCTTCTAAGTATAAAGCATTATATTCTAAAGTACAATAGAAAGTTTCTGATTAGAAATATATTTTGGCTTTTAAAATTTATTTTTGTATATTATAAGTGAGGATAAAAGCAATAAAAAGATAATTATCTGTTCCTTTAAATCTTTTTTATAGCACGCCTTATATTACCACCTATTCTTTTTTTTTTTTTTTTTTTTTTTTTTTTCGTTTTCCTGGGCCTTTTCTTTTTTTTTTTTTCCCTTTTGGGGGCGCCGCTCCGGAAGCACAGGCTCAGCGGCCATGGCTCACAGGCCCAGCCGCTCCGCAACATGTGGGATCTTCCCGGACCGGGGCACGAACCCATGTCCCCTGCATCGGCAGGCGGACTCTCAACCACTGCGCCACCAGGGAAGCCCTACCACCTATTCTTGAGTGTGTATGGAACCTGTAAATATGAAGACAGAGTCGCTCCCTTGGTTAGGTTACATTTTATGGCAAATGGTGTTGGGATAGTCTCTTGTGATTAGTTTCTTGAGATTATGCTGTGACTCCATCATAGCAGATAAGACTCCATCATAGCAGACTGTGGAGAGACTGGAAGTCAGAAAGATGTGCTTCTCCTGGCCTGGAAGGAAGCAAACATGTTGTGAGCTGCTTCTGGGCAAGGAACTGCAGGTGCCTCTAGGAGCTGAGAGCAGTGTCCAGCCTATAACTAGCAAGAAAATGGGAATCTCGGTCCTACAACTGCAAGGAATTGATTCTGTCAACAACTTAAATGAGCTTGAAAGAGGACCCTGAGCTTCAGATGAGACCACAGCCCAGTCAATACGTTGGTTGCAGCCTTGTTGGGACCCTGAGTAGAGTAAGCTGCGTCTGCACTCTTTATTTGCAGAAACTATGAGATAACAAATTTGTTTGATTTTAAGCTTTTAAGTTTGTAGAAATTTACTATGTGGCATGGAAAACTAAAACAATAACTTTAAGGAGGTTATTGAACAGAGCTTAAGTGTTTTCATTTGTAAAATGGGGATTATAACTCTTTATAAGGGAAGTTATAGGACTAAATGAAATGCTGATGAAAACTACCCGGAAATCAGTAGGACATCAGGAATGTTGGTGTGTCAGGCTAGGAAGACGCTGCTTCCTGTACATGGCCAGGATGGAGGGTCACTTGAGAGAGTGGTTTTTGCATCTCTAGGGCACCTTTGCTGGTACCCAGGCCGATGCAGAGTGTGATGGTAGAGCCACAAACAACTGAATTTCAATTTGTGTTTTGTTGAACAGATGTTACTGGAATCTATCTAAAAGGGGAGAGGATTATAAAATTTAATTATGGTTCAATCATGGAACCATAGCTTTTTGAAGTGTTCTTTAAAATCTGGTGAGTTGGAAAAAGGAAAGTTAATTTCACAGCTTAAAACATTAACATTTGAAATATAGATAAATTTCAATTTATCTGTATTTGCATATTTATTTGTATGTGTCTGTATTTGTGTGAATTCGTTTATTGTTTGAGTAGCTAACAGAGCATTTTTAAAATGAGTCTCCAACTTACAGAAAATGTGCATATGCAATATAAAGAACGTTTTTTCCTGAAATCATGAGTTGCCAACATTTTTCCTGAAATCATGAGCTGCCAACATTATGCTCCGTCACCTCCGAACACTTAACATGTATTCCGGTAGAGCCACAAGGGTCAAATTGGGAAATTAGCATTGATACATTATTACCATCTAATGTTTAGACTTGTTCCAGTTTTCCCAGTTGTCCTAACAGTGCCCTCTACAGCAAAATGATCCAGTTTAGAATCACACTTTGCATTTAGTTGTTAGGTCTTTAGCCTTTCTCTCTCTGTCCAGAACAGTTCCTCAGTTGTTCCTTGGTTTTCATGATCTTGACAATTTGGAATCTTATAGGCCAGTTATTTTGCAGAATGCTCCTCACTGTGGGTTTGTGTGATGATTCCTCATCATTAGATTCAGCGTACACATTATTGGCCTATTGGAATATCACAGAAATGATGCTATATTCTTCTGACTGGCTCCTTTCATGTAGTGCCTGATTTCAATTTGTCCCAATACTAGTGATGTACACTTTGAATATTTGGTTAAGGTGATGTCTGTGAGGCTAGTCTCTGCTTCCATGCTCTCTCGGGGGATAGAGTTAGGGAATATATTTATTCCAGTATATATAATTATTTATTTGGGTGTCCAAATTATCCCAGATTTGGCCAGTAGTGTTCCCTTAAACTGGCTTCTGTATCTTTTTTGACATGTGCCCCTAACTCTTTAGACACTTCTTTACTTCCTGGCACAACAAGATGTTTCAGGCTTATCTTGTACTTTCCGTGCCCCAGTGGGATAAGCTGGAATAAACTGTTTCTCCAAGGTTCCCAGTTTCCTATGAGTGGAGAATGATATTCATAAACCAAGATCTGGGTGTTAGTTTACTCATTGCTGTTGGGATATCTCTGCTTCCAGTCTGTCTTAGAGGATAGAGTATTTGTTCTAGTATATATAAATATTATATATATATATATATATATATATACATACACACACATATAAAAGATATATAATGTATAAAATATATAAAATTTCATATTTATATTCAGTTTAGAAAAGAAGTAAAGAGCAACCTCCTGTGTGACTAGTGCCCAGGCCATGAAATAGGATATCTCCAGAAACAAACCCTCTGGGTGGTCCTTTTAGTTACAGCACCTTCTCCCCCTACAGAGGTGAGACAGTTCTAACTTCTGCCTTCCTTGCCATGTTTTTATTGCCTATGCATGTAACCCTAAACAATATAGTTTTTTCTATTTTTGAACTTTATATAAATGGAATCCTCTCCTTTATGTTCTTTTGTGACTTCTTTTATGACTTGCTCGTTTAGTTTATCATTGAGATTCATCCATTTTCCACATTGAAATTATGGGCCATTATAGGTTTTATCGTAAGAAGTTCAGGCCCTATTGAAAGACTCAATTAAGAAATAAAGGCACCATAATACCCTGTTCACTTCTACTTTTTATATATTTTATTATAATTTCTGTTTCTTAAATCTCTCAGGTCTCTGTATTTATCTTCATCCTCCCTACTATTACCAATCCAGGCAGGCAGCCTCCTTTCTGGTTTGCACAGCAACAGTGGGTTCTTGCTTGGTCTCCTGACCTTCATCAATCTTGCTGCCTCTAATCTATTTTCCATACAGCATCTGAAGTAATGCTTTTGGTGTTTTTATTTTTTGTTTTTCTTTGGCTGTGTTGGGTCTTCATTGCTGAACATGGGCTTTCTTTAGTTGTGGCCAGCAGGGGCTGCCCTTCGTTGCGGTGCGCGGGCTTCCCATTGCGGCTGCTTCTCTTGTTGCGGAGCATGGGCTCTGGGCACATGGGCTTCAGTAGTTGCGGCGCATGGGCTCAGTAGTTGTGGCGCGTGGGCTTAGTTGCCCTGCAGCATGTGGGATCTTCCCAGACTAGGGATCGAACCTGTGTCCCCTGCATTGGCAGGCAGATTCTTAACCACTGCTCCACCAGGGAAGTCCCAGTGCTGCTTTTTGAAATGGAAATTTTCTTGTTTCTTCTTTACATAAAAGAAGTACCATTGTCTTAGTCAGATATTGCTGTACAACTCTATTTAGGCTGTGGATTACTACAGTGAGCATTATTTTTTTATTTATGGGTCTGTGAGTCGTTTAGGGTGGCTCTACTTCATAAGGCTTGGCTCTGGGCTTTGGGTTGAGTTCTGGTCTGCACCACACGTCTCCACATTCTCCTTGGACCAGTGGCTACCCTAGGCATTTTCTTCTCATGGGCGCTCAAGAGGCCAAGCCAAACTTTTGGAGTATCACATCTACTTCCATACCACTGGCAAGTCCCACGGCCAAGCCCGACGTGAGTTGGTGAGGAGGTGTACTCTGCCTGCTGTAATACACTGTAATGTCACAGGCTGAGGGAGGGAGTGAAGAATTAAAAACGATAATTTAACCCACCACAACCATTATCAAGTGGCAGTTCTTTCTGTCCTTGTTTTGTTTGATGATTTCTATATTCTCTTACTGACCAGTGTAGTTCTCTTATTTAGCTATGAATTCCTATTAAAATATCATATTAAATACCACGGAGGAATGTATGTAAAAGAGTACAAGCAGTTGAATTTGGTGACCTGATACAAGTGTTACTCTCAAGGAGTCCTGTGACTTGGAGCAAATCAATTTCAGGTGACTGTCTCACTTTCCATGTCTAGAGGAGACTATTTCTAAATGTATCTCTTGAGAATTCTAAGAACATGCAGAGAATAACCTATTCAAAAGGGTAGGATATTGAAATATTCTTAGGTTTCCTTTACTCACGAACAAGGCACTGATGAGGCTGCACTTGGTTTTTATACCTGTACCTGTGGTTAAGAAGATGTCTCCTATCTCTCAGCTGGGTAGCGTTAGTTGTGTTGTTGACCAGGAAGAGATTTAGCCAAAATATTATAACAATAAACTTCCTTTTTTTTTTTGTTTTTGTTTGTTTTTGCTCTGCTGTAGGACATAATGATTATATTTGTCCAGCTACAAATCAGTGTACAATAGACAAGAACCGGCGTAAAAGCTGCCAGGCCTGCCGACTTCGGAAGTGCTATGAAGTCGGAATGGTGAAGTGTGGTGAGTGTTCCCTTCCCCTTCTGTGATATGTGGGACATGCTGAGAGCCATGTCAAACTGGGGACAGTTTGAGGACCTGGAGACATGTAGCCTGGATGAAAGGAGATTTAGAACATGGTAATTATCTTGAGGTGTGTGTATGCTGTCCCATTGCAGGGGTGTTGACTTATTCTCTAAAGCTGCAGGGGACAGAGCTGGGGTGAACAGGAGCAAGCTGTTAGAGGCAGATTTTGGCCCAATGTAGGGAAGAACTTTCTACAGTTCAAGTGGTCTGACCACAGAATAGGCTGCTGCATGAATTAGAGAACTCTAGCCACTGAGGTGCTCAGATGGGCTGGATGACCATCTGCCTGAGGCCTTGAAAAGTCTAAGGATGAAGTTCAGGTAAATGTTCATGGTTAAAGCTCTGACAAGAAAGTTGACTATCTTGTGGGCTACTTGGGATGACTCGTGCCTATCCCTCCATTTAACTTTCTAGAAGTGGAAAAAATATGCATAGGAGTCAGAAACATGATAGACCTATGGGAAGCACATAGAGTATGGATTTTGTTCTAAGACAGTATGTGTGCATATATATGTGAACACACACATATATATACATGAAAAAACAGAGAAATGAGAACATTAGTATTAACAACTGACGACGATGCGTACACTGCACTCTCTCCACCTGGCTAACTTGATTCACTTGTTGTACATACTTGCTTGTTTATATACAGTCATATCAGCTCTGCCTGTACTTTTCTTATTCTTCTGCCAGCCAGTATTTTAGCAGTGGTTTGTTGTTATTTCTCTCTTTGTAACTATTTGAAAAATTAAAAAAAAAAATCCTCTCTCTTTTCTCCCTGACAGTCTCTTAGTAGCTCTGCCCCTTGAACATTCTCTGTTCCCTCCCCTAGTTCAGAATTAGAGCAGAAGTTCTCTTAATTTAATCACAGTTCTCTGGCTTCCTAAAATCACTTGTGTTCTCCATTTCCTCTGTAAAATATCCTGCCAATGCCCATGACCTCCCAGAGGGTATTGGTTACTTTCATAAACACCACTTCAGTTATATCCTTATCAGTAACCAATGGGCTTCTTCCCAACCTGTTTCTACTCATTGTAATTGTTAAATCATATAATTTAATTAAACTTTATGCAAACATATGAAATATGAGTAGGAAAAGATAGTTGTTCCTGTGAAAGCTTTGAATAAAACTGTAAAGGACTAATAGCTATTGGGTTAGGTATGGGTGAGATTGGGGCAAAACCATTTATACACCTATAAAGAGTCTGCATTCAGATTGCTTTAGGAGTGCCTAAGTTCTTGCTCTGTTTTAAAGAAGCTGAAACTGAAAATCCAGAGACAAGGTAACTTGTGATTAAATTGGCAGAGGTGCTTAAAGAGAAATCCTTGGCCCTCTGACCAAAGACTGCAAATAAATATATCATGTTTTAAGTAAAACGATATTTTAAATTGTATACTTAAAAAAAAAAGATTTCCAATTTAGCCTTAGGTTAGAAACGCTTTTAATGTACTAGAGTCTGTTAGTGGCTGTGGTTCTCCTGGTTTGGGACCAGGGCAGTAGCACATACACTCCAGCTGTAGGGGACAGTGTATGCGGTGAGAAGAACAGCAGGACTGGACCGCCCCCACACACAGATGGAATCTCATTTTTTTTTTGTCTCATTACTTCTTGCTAGCGGTGACTATGCTTAAACGACGTAACCTTCCTGGCCTTCGGTTTCCTTATCTCTGAAACAGAGGTATCTGCTTCATTGAGTTTTGTGAGGAATAAAGACCTAACACAGTGCCTGGCATTAAATTTTGCTTTTCCTTCCTTTCTCCCTTGTTGAAAGGCTCATATAAATTAGGAGTTTTGATACAATACAGTTTCAGAAAGCAGAGTTCAGAGATGTTCCTGAATTTTTCCTGGAAAAGGTCATTGAATTTGACCAAAAAGTCGCTGTATAGGGCTAAGAAAAAATATTTCATTATCTTAGATTACAGAAGGAATGAGATGGATTGATGTGCAAACAGATGGATATTTTGACCCTTTACTGACCACAGGAAAAGACGATTAGGAGTGAATTTTCTTAACTGTGCCTCCCTCCTTTCCCAGCCCTCTTCTCGTCTGCCCTCCTGAGAAAACCCTTGATCTAGAGTCTTCCTTCTATCCAATTTTAGAGGATTAGGGATTCTCCCTGCATTCTGGATCCTCCTGAATAATATCACTTCCCCGTTTTATTCAGAAATCCTGTCCCTTTTGTCATCACCTTTTTCTTCTGCATTTCCAATCCTTTCTGCTGAGGTATTAATATCATTGTTTCAATGGTAGGAGGGTACCCACCCAGACTAGCTTCAGGGACAAGGCTTCATTATAAGAATACACAACTGCAAATAGGCAGGAAACCGACCTGAATAACTGTATACCTGATCTAGAACCCTGTGTTGGGACAATAGCTCGGCATCTTTCAGATGCCATCTCTTTATTCACCCGCTGTATAGACACTTGAAAGTAATTTGATAGGGAGGTGATATAAAATTGTTGTTAAAAGCACCAGCTCTGCATTCAGAACACTGATTGGTTTTAGATCCTGCTTCTGCTATTTTCTAGCTTTTCTACCTTGGGCAAGTTACTTGAGCTCTCTTGTGCCTGGATCCTCCCCTGTATGTTGGAGATAGTAATAGCACCTTTTCTCTAGGGTGGTTGTCAGGATGGGATAATCTATATACAATAATACACAATGTCTGGCATACAGAAGCTTCCAGTAGATATTAGCTGTCATGATCATCATTTACCATGGTTGTTGTTGTCATCGTCTTTTCGCTGGGGCACTTTCTAATATGGAGCACTCCTATTTGGTACTTTCTCATTAAGCTCACTCAGAGGCACACTGAGTGACTGCTTGGATTACGGTGTCAAAGCCATAACACTAGGAGTGTCCTTGGTAGAAACATGTGAGTTCTTTGTCAATGACTTTATTTTTTGACCTTCTCAATTTCATTTTATTCCAGTGTATACAATACAACTTGATTTACCAGTTAAAACTAGGAACTCTATCAATAGATTCTAGGGGCTTTATTTTATTGATCCCAACTTAGAATAGGGTCTAGTACATAGAACTTTGTTGGGGAAATTTGGTCAAATAAATTTGAATGTGTGGAATCAAAACCTTTTACTTTGTATGGAAATCTGTTTTGTAAACTCCTTATCCTCATATACTCCACAAAAGAGAAATGTGTGATCAGAAAGATACTCTCTTAACCATACATTTTGTCCCATTTTACCCTGGAGGTATAATCGACCTTTAATAATATAATTATAATATTATATATAATGTAAATAATAATAGCACTTTATCTGATTACTAATAAAATGAATTATATTTTAGGCTTTTAATTCTTTTCATGAAAATTTTGATTCAGTTATCCCTAGATGAATAGAGCCCTTTCTTCTACTGCAGTTAGCCAAGGATAAGGGAAATTCAGATAAATTTTCTTGGAAGCAAATAATTTAAATTTGCTCATACCTCCTAACTAATATTTCTTTGTATAAATGTGGACAATTGAATTTCGTGAACAAACACAATGGTGGGAGTATAGAAACTAGGCATTCTGATTTTAACTTTTAGATTTTTTTTAGGGAAGATTCATATAAATGTTGTGCCCATGCTAACAACATCTTGACTTATGTCTTTTTTTTTTGTGGTACGCGGGCCTCTCACTGTTGTGGCCTCTCCCGTTGCGGAGCACAGGCTTCGGACGCGCAGGCTCAGCAGTCATGGCTCACGGGCCTAGCCGCCCTGCGGCATGTGGGATCTTCCCGGACCGGGGCACGAACCCATGTCCCCTGCATCAGCAGGCGGACTCTCAACCACTGTGCCACCAGGGAAGCCCGACTTATGTCTTTTTTAATTCCATCTTACATTTATGTCTTTAACCAATGAATATTTAGAAATATTTTGTGCTCATAGGACTTTGGAAGTTATATTTTTGTTACTGATTTCTATTTTTATTGTGGTCAGAGAATATGATCTATATGATATCAGTTTTAGTTAAAGTTTTATTAATGACTTGTTATGTGATAATTTTTACAAATTCCATGAGCTTTTATAGCTCAAGCTTCTTAATTGTGCAGTTCAAATGTTCTATATTCTTTTTCCCCATCTATTTTGTTAGTTTCTGAGAGAGATACAGTAAAACATCCCATTATATTGATATTAGTGTATTTGTCAATTTCTCTTTTTCTTTCAATCACTTTTTGGCATTTTGTTTGTAGGCTGTGTTTTCTTGTTGTTGTTTTGATGTATATGAGCTTAGAATTATTTACCTTCCTTTTATAATCTACTTATGAGACCTTAATAATGATTTTTGCCTTTAAGTTTATTTTGTCTGATATTGATAGTGACTCCAATTTATTTGGTTAATTTTTGCCGTTGTATCTTCTTCTACCCCTTTACTTTCAGTTTTTCTGCATGTTAGATGTATTCCTTATAACCAGTCTATGTCTAGATTAAAAAATATGTCTGATCTCAGAGTTGCTCTTAATTGATTAATTTAGTCTGTTTATGTTTATTGTGATCGTTAGTATTTGGGTTCATTTCTATCATCTTATTTTGTGCTTTTTAAAAAAATCACATATTTTCTACTTTTTTTCCTTTTTGGAGTTGATCATATTTTCCTGGTTTCTTTTTTCTCTTCTGCCAGTTTGGAAATCATACATTCTGTTTTAATTCTTTTAGTGACACTATTTCTATTTTTAGCATGCATTCCTGATTAATTTTAGAATCAAGCCACTCTAATAGATATCTCTCTTCCTAAATAAAAATTTTTCGAATGTTCTAGTCAAAATTATTCCTCTCTCATCTTATATGTTATTGTCTGGTATTTTGGTTCTACCTTGTTTCTGTACCTCGAAAAATTATTATTATTTTATTCAGTGTTTTTCAGATTTACTCACATATTTACCAGTTTAGCTTCTTACCACTGCTTCTTGACTTTCTTTGCTTCCTTCAGGTTCATTTTTCTCCATCCCAAAGAACATAGTATTTATTTCAAAGGGGCTGTGAGTGATATATGTTCCCAATCTTTTTAAACTGAAAATACCTTTAATTTATCCTCACTCTTGAATGATAGGTTAGCTGGGAATATAATTCTGAATTGAAAGCTTCTTTCTTTTTTTTTTAAAATTTATTTATTTTAAGTAATTTATTTTTGGCTAGTTGGGTCTTTGTTGCTGCACGCGGGCTTTCTCTAGTTGTGGCGAGCGGGGGCTACTCTTCATTGTGGTGCCCAGGCTTCTCATTGTGGTGGCTTCTCTTGTTGTGGAGCATGAGCTCTAGGCACATGGGCTTCAGTAGTTGTGGCTAACGGGGTCAGTAGTTGTGGCTCATGGGCTCTAGAGCACAGGCCCAGTAGTTGTGGCACACGGGCTTAGTTGCTCTGCGGCACGTGGGATCTTCCTGGACTAGGGCTTGAACCCATGTCCCCTGCATTGGCAGGTGGATTCTTAACCACTGAGCCACCAGGGAAGCCTGAAAGCTTCTTTCTTAAAGACATTATCCCATTGTGTTCTGCTATATAAACTTACAGTAACTGAAACGTTTTGGTACCAGCACAGGAATAGAAAAATAGATCTATGAAAAAGTGTAGAAAATCTGGAAGAAGATACTTTTATACACAATTATTTATTAAATGACAAGACATTTTATAAAAATCAATGGGAAAAGCTTATTTAATAAATGGTATGTGGAAAGTTGTACATCCATTTGGAAAAACATAACATGAAATATCAATATGACATAATAGAAGCATACATAAAATTTCAAATAGGTTTGAACCACAAAAGTGTTTAAAAAAGATATAGGAGAATATTTGTGTAATCTTTATGTGAAACAAAAAGGCAGATGTGACTATGTACTAAATCTTCTTATGACAGAAGACACCATGAGCAGAGTTAAAAGATATATTAACAGCTAAGACAAATATTGAATACAACAAAAGTTATCATTCCTATATAAAGAGCCTTTGTAGGTAATTAAGGAGATAAAGAGCAAAAGAAGCAAATATGCAATATACAAGTAAGAGAAAATGAAGGGCAAACATTTTAGTCAACCTTGCTAGTAATTGAAAAAATACAAAGTAAAATGAGACTGTTTAGTCACTTGCCAGATTAGCAAAGATTAAAAATGATTTTTCATGTCCAGTGGTGTTATAAGAAAATAGGTAGCCCTTAAAGTATTATTTAGATTATAAATTTTAAAATAGTTTTGAAGGGCAATCTATCAATATGTATCAAAATTTTAAATTTTAATTTAAACGAGCAACTTGGTTCAGCAACTTGACTTCTTTCTGTTTATTATAAGGGAGTAATTGGATACAGGTACAAAGATGCATTTTCATTGTAATGTGTAATATAGTAGCAAAGAAATTGGAACCAACCTAGAGTTCCATTAACAGGGGACACTTTAAATAAGTGGTGCTATACTCATAGAACAGAATGCTATACAGATTTTTTAATTGTTATAAAATGATACATTTTTAATAAAAAAAGAAAAGGGAGGTTATACAATTATATATATACACACATATATACATACACTATGTATGTCCTAAAGTTGTATACAAAATATGGAAAAGTATAAAAGCATTAAAAGAAAACTGACTTTAAGCCAAAATTTGTGATCGTCTATATTTTCCAGATTTTTTCAATTACTTTATTGTTTGAAATAACCTTATTTGTGTTAAGTATGTAAAAAGAATACACAGACACACACACACGCAAAAGAATTTAAGGATGTATTATTAAAAGTGCATTATTTATAATCAGTTCCTAACTTTTCCTTATCTTCTTCCTGAAGAAGATTTCTAATTTCATGGTTTGGAAACTGAGGTATACCAGCACTCTTTAAAAGAGAAATGGATTTAGATTTAGAAATGGAATAGATGACCTTGAAGTGGAAACCTAAACATCATTTGGGCTATTGTCCCTAAAAAGTCATTACTGATTTTGCCAGTACAGTCAGTCACAAATATAATAATCTTTAGTACGTGCCCCACAGGCTCCAGAAATAAAAGTCAGGCTCCTGTTCTAAGGCACATTCTGTGAATAGACTCAGGTCTTCCAGTGATATCACTGCTTCATTTTTACCCTGGCGACTGGGGGAACTTGACTGCTGGGTTGGAGAAGAGACGGGAAAGCAGTGTGTTATCATCTGCTCTCTGCTTTAGGCTCCCGGAGAGAAAGGTGTGGGTACCGCGTAGTTCGAAGGCAGAGAAATTCTGATGAGCAGCTGCACTGCCTGAGCAAAGCCAAGAAAAATGGTGGGCACGTGACCCGCGTGAAGGAGCTGCTGCTGAGTGCCCTGAGCCCAGAGCAGCTGGTGCTCACACTCCTCGAGGCCGAGCCGCCCCACGTGCTCGTGAGCCGCCCCAGCACGCCCTTCACCGAGGCCTCCATGATGATGTCCCTGACCAAGCTGGCTGACAAGGAACTGGTACACATGATCGGCTGGGCCAAGAAAATTCCGGGTAGGGCTTTCTGGGTCTTAGCTTTAAATTTATTTGTGGAAAGGGCCGCCTCTAACATTTATGGGGCAAGAATACAAGATGGAGGTCCACATTGTGTCTTTGGTATTTAGCAGTTTGAGAGCTTGATTTATAACCTTTAAAAGAAATATGTTCTTTCTTCCTATTTTGACATGTATGCCTTTACCACGTCCTGGAAGACCAGGTTCCAGTTTAGAATTCTTGAATTCCTCTGAGTTCTGTGCCAGACATGGCAGTGCAGAAAGAGTTGTATATGGTGGACCCCTTCTCTTCCTGACTCCTTGCCTTCTTCTCCCACTCCTGAATCCATCCCACACCACCTTGTACACACTCCATTCTACCTGTCCACATCTCCTACAGACACTAGCCTGTTGGCCATGTCTCATGCCTAGATCTGGTCTGGGACGAAGGACCCAGGGAAGAGACCCACCCAGGCTCTGGAAGTGGATATGAGGCCATTTAGGCAGGAAATTCTAGGGTCCTGGGACCTGGAACATGGTCTAAAAAGGAAGGGATCTGGGCTCCACCTTAACCCATCTCTTGGCTGTGGACTTCTCACCTTGGGAGGAGGGGTGGGGCTCAGTATGACCAGTATGAAAGTGAAACGTTTCTCAGATGCTAAATAGGAACTGTAAAATTTTGTTCCAATAGAGAAAGAATCAGTATATATGTGGATAAATAGAGTAAATCAGCTGTAGAAGTAACATGAATCATCAATAAACCTGGAATGCTTTTTAACTTGATAGACTTAAAAATGGGTTTGGTTATTCGTAAATTGTCATTTAGAACATTCATTTTCCATCCTATAATGTGTCCACTTTCCAAGACCAGTTTGTAACATATACTGCATTGTCACCATCTAATTATTATTTGAATTGGTGTTTCTGTGAAAGAATGAATCAAGGATTCTAACATAGAATGACAGCAACCCACCATTCCCCTGGAAGGGCTTCTCCATGTACGTCTATACATTTGTCTAAGAAATGAGGTCTCTCTCCAAGTTCTAAGCCACTAGGGACAATTTCCATGGCCTGGAGGTCAGCAACTGCATTAAGCACATTTTAAAGATTGAGAAGGGGGCATGAAGCTGGGTGACAGAGCAGCTGGGTGTAAGAGCCTCAGGTAATAGTATCCATAGGGGTCATTTGTTTGCTTCTGAGCTTTCTGAGAATTTCCAGGTTTTCCACTTTGGTTTTGATAGTCTAGCATCTTCACCTTTGCCAGAATGCTGTTTTATTCTCAGCTCTTTCCCATAGGAGACAATACTGACGCAATTTCCTCTAGCTTTTGCTCTACGTGTATTCCAAGCCTAGTTTTCAAGATCCCACGTGGAGAGTAGTGGTGAAATTAATTACTCCTGAGAGCTGTGCAGCTTCTTTAAAACCAAACTCTTAAGCTGCATTAGTCCCTCTTCAAGCCTGGTATTTTGGAAATTTTCAGAAAGCTTAGGCTTTCTGAAGCTGTGGGATTTTTTTCCCCCGTTCTCAGCTAATATAGTCATTGTCTAAACCAAAAAAAATTGGAATATCACCTAGCCTTGGTTTTGCTGAATATCTACAAGTATGAAAAGCTTGATCTCCTTTGGGTAGGCTTATTGTCTATAACTGTGGGTGAGATTGAAACGTGTACACATATCAGGAACTGGAACTGAGTGTAGAATGTGGCTTTGGAAAGGATTTATCCATCTTTCCATTCATTACTCTATTAAATTCTCCTTTGTGCAGATTTGTGTTATAATCGTTCAAAGATTTGAACCATGTGTGTTCTCTGTGCCATAGTTTCCTCATCTGTGAAATGAGGATGATGAGAGATCCTAGCTGTCGGAAATTCTCAGAGATAGGCCTTGTTGCCCCCATTTTTCCTGTAAGAAAACAAAGACTTCATAGGAGATTAAGTAACTAGCTGGGATGAGGCCGAGCAGGGTTCTAAGCAGAATGCATTGCACTCCAAGGCCATTTGTTTATATTTACTATACTTATATTATACTGCCTCCTCCTCTTACGGTGGCTTACGGAGGAAGCACCGGTGATCTCTGCTTCTGAAGTGCTCACCTCCCTTAGGGACCTGTTTCAGTTGTTACCTATCCTCTTCAGCGTACAGTAGCTTAGAGACAGCACACCTACTCAGAAGAATGATTCTAACGCTAGATGTGAAATGTTAAGCAATTGAAGAAACTCTTTCAGCTGGAGCTCTGACTTTCTGCAGGGGTTGGCCCTGCTCTCTCTGCAAGCCTCCCATCCGCACCCCCACTCTCCCATCCCCCCACTCCTCCTGGCCCCAGTCATGGGCTGGGCCATATTGGTAGCCCCTCTGACTGGCAGCTGAGCTCTGTCTTTCTCAGTAGTGCAGAGGGATTATTAGGATATAACCAACAAAGGTCAGGGCCAGCTTTCTGTTCTTCCCTAGCATCTGTCTGGGGAGCTGTATAAGCCCAGGTGACAGTCCTTTAGAAATTCTGAATGAAGTACATTTCTCTCTAGAAGGGGTTTGAGACTAGAAAATAGTGAGTACTCATTTTGAGTTCAAGATTTTCTCACTTGTCAGCATTTAGCAATGTCTTTAAAATATTGACTTTCCCCCCCCGCCCTGTATGATTGCTCTTCTGTTTTTATGGAACGGGGGAGCTGAGGAGGAGGGTGGGGTGTGCTCACGGCCTCTTGCTTTCCCCAGGCTTCGTGGAGCTCAGCCTGTACGACCAAGTGCGGCTCTTGGAGAGCTGCTGGTTGGAGGTGCTCATGGTGGGGCTGATGTGGCGCTCCATCGACCACCCCGGCAAGCTCATCTTTGCTCCAGACCTCGTTCTGGACAGGTGAGAAAAAATACTTTGTGTTTCTTCTCTGACTGGTTTGAGTGAGGCGCTGAGTGAAGTGGGAACAAAGTCCTGGGTTCTGCAATTAAAACCTTACTCCTGAGAGGGCAGGTAAGAGGAGGATAATGTCATGAGTTCCTTCACTGGGTCAAGAACCCAAGAAGGAGAGCATGGGCACAATGATTAAGTGTCTTGTGACTCATTCTTACCTATTCTTTCAGTGTGGCAGCATTCACTGGCCAGACCACAACAGGGGCCTGTGTCCTGCAGGGTATATGGCCACTAAGTGTACACGTCAACTTAGATTTTTCTGCACTAAAAAACTCCATTTTCAGGTTATAATTTTAAGCTGTCCTGCTGTTTTTTCCACTGGTAGGGACCCTGTACATCTCCAGCTATTTGGACAGGTGATGAAATTCTTACAAATCTACCAAGTTTATTTTAACATGCTTTAACTCACTCTAACTACGTGTACTATATAGCATTTTTGGCAATAGCCGTGGAACGAATGGTTATTAAAACCAGATGAAAGTTAACGGAAACTGGGGAACGATAGTGTTAATGTGATAACTTGGTTGCATTTAGTTTTCTTTTAAAGATGGTGCAGAAAAGGAACCAATTTTTAATTGACTTAGGTGAACTGTTCGTGGAGGGAAAGCTGGAATGTACAACACTCAGGCTTTTTAGGAGAAAAGTAGAATGCTTTCTTGGGGTAAATTTGAACAGTTTGAAAATCTCCATGGAAATTGATTTCCACATTCCTTATATTGAAAAAAATGCTAGTGTTGAATATTCAGTCACAGTTGACTCTGTGCACAAAGAAGGATGCCTAGTGTTATGAATGGAAAGGATCTGCCCCTTGGCATTGCCTCTTTAGATCATCAGAAGATCCCCATGCACATCTTACTCAGATGAAAAGTAATAGCCCAGGGAATTAGCACCCATTCTGTCTGTTGTCATGGATGACAGCATTGACAACACTGTTCTAAGTAACAGAGGTGTGTTGGTGGAGAACAGGGCCGTTGGGAAGAGCTGGAGCGTGGACTGTGGCTCCACTAGGAGCAAGCCCAGAGGGAGGTTCTGGAAGCCCAGACCCTTCAGTAGCAATCAAAATAGCTAACTTATTGGCTTCCAGGCACCATCTTAAGCACTGATATGTGTTAAGTCATTTCATCTTCACAACAGCCCTTTATGGGTAAGCACCATTATTATCCCTGTCCTTCAGATATGGAAACAGGAGGTAGGTAACTTACCTGCAGTTAGCAAGTGATGCAGCTGGGCACAGGGGCTGGCTGTGAAGTTCACACTCTTACCTACAACAGTACATGCCTCCCAGCGGGATAGAGAACTGGAAGAGGAAAGAGGAGGAGGCCAAAAGGCAAAGTAACTTTCTACTTAATTCTTTTATCTCAGAACAACTCTGTTTCACTCTCTGTGCACCTCAGAAGCCTGCTCCTCCTCATCTCAGGGTACCATGTTGCGAGGCAGGCTGCAAGGCTAAGCACCCAGCCAAGCCATCAGTCTCATTCATTCATTTATTCACTCATTATATTCCACTTGGCACTTAAAGGCACACACACACACAAATATACACACAAAATTCCCTAGAAGTTAGTGCTAGGAAGAAGTTCTATCCTTTGGTGAACCAATAAATTTGCAGACTTTGGGACTGTGTTATTTTATTTTTTGCCCTGATTTCTAAAATTGATGCCACATTTAGTGTTTATTTTCAGTGACTATTTCATTCCTGGTTTTTAGTACAACTAACTTACCTCTTTGTGCAGGTTCTTTAACTCCCATGTGTATATAAATTACTGTAAATTGACACCAATCCCAGATAAATTTTAGGCTTACCTGTTGGTTAAGTAATAGAAGAAAAAAAAAGTAATTTTTCTTATATGTTATTTTAATAGACTCACATTACTTTATAAATATTTGGATGTGTTATTTTTTACAACATAGAAATTGAGTATATTTGAGGATGAAAGAGGAGTTCTTAGGAATTGTAAATGCATTCACATTGAACAGGCATTTTTTTGGAGTGCCTACTAGTGGTTATTTTTTGTTGCAGTCCCTACTTGATTTGAGGACTCTGTAAAGTATAGAATTTCAATTCCGAGACTCTTAGTGCATCTGTTATACAGATAAATACATTTTAATGTAATGGGTATGTTTCTGGAGGAGCTGCTTATTCAAAAATGTTCAAAATGTGACTTATTCCAAAAGTCAGGGATCATGCACCATAAAAGTGTTCTATTGTGAATCTTTTTTGCAACGTGAATAAATAATTTTCACACTACATGAAAATAATTGTCTTTTGGTAGATTGTCCTGTCAGAGTTCCTTTAAGTGGTGGTATGACCATGTAAGCAGTGAATACAATTAAATTAGCCTATTTATTTGTGGAGACTGAGACTATAATTTCTTTCCCTTTATTCTTGTTGAGGCTTCTGCAGCGAGAAAACTTGAACCTACTGAGGATGAGAGGAAAATCCGGGTATCTCAGCTTATTTCTAACAAGGTAGTTCTTTTAGTAATCACTAGAATCCCAATTCATGTGAAGATCTACCACAGAATCTGAACTTCTACTTGCTCAGAACATCATATACGCTAAGACATTATGTGTCCTTAGCATCAATAGGAAACTGCCAAATGTTATTAAAAAGTCAGAGGAAGTGGATGTGTCTGGGGTTCTGTGGACTCACAAGTGTAAATGTGCCGAGTTTGCATTCACCTCAGGTGTTTGTGTATTGAACTTTCTTCAAGAGACTGACAGAATTTTCACTTCTGAATTTCCATTTCCCTTTTGTACTCAGATCACTTCACCTGAGTTCAATATTTAAGTCCTTCCCATGTGCTAAGCTCTCCCAACCCTATTGCCACCCACACAAAGACAGACAAACTGTGGTCTATTAGCCACCTGTGTGCTGCCAGCGGATATATATATGCCAGTACAAAACAGTGAACCCCAGAGGGAAGCCCACTCTTTCAACACGTTGTCCTTGGTATCAAACAGAATATTTTTCTTTTATAAAGGGAGTGGTTATCAAATATAAGATAGTCCGCATGGAACTATTACTTCTATTTTTATTTAGCACTGGTTTATGGGGAAATGGAGTGTAAAAGTAAATTTCCATGAGTAGTTTGGTTTGATTTGATATATTGTTTCAGTATTTTAACATCCAAATCATACACCCACTAGGTTGAATTCAGATCTTTTAAACCTGTCTTAATTTCTTACTCGTAATTCAGTGTCAATCATAGTTACTTACAGAATAAATGAAATAGGTCTCATTGATTGTAAAGTCCTTCCTCACTCTGTTCTGTATAACTCATTTTAAGGTAGAACTCTATTAGGGTGTCCTTTATAAGATATTGTACCTTATTGCCCCTGTATTTCTCATTTATTTTCTAGAAATGTATTTGTTTTCTGCAGCCTGTGAAGTGAATAAAAATATTGTAACCTTGCCACCCCTTGAATGAGACGGTTGGCTCTCACACCTGCTGGAGAAAGCAATCAGACCTTGCTCTTTACAACTGGTTGAGAAATTCACTTTTTCCATGCGGTACATATGTTCTGATTACTTTGAGCTGCAGCATTTATCAAGGCCTAAGATACCCTGAAATATAAACTCTACCTCCATTAAAAAAAAAAAATTTAGTTATTTATTTTGGCTGCACCGGGTGTTAGTTGCGGCATGCGGACTCCTGGTTGTGGCATGCGGGATCTAGTTCCCCTGACCAGGGATGGAATCCGGGCCCCCTGTCTTACCCACTGGACCACCAGGGAAGTCCCTCTACCTCCATTTTTGAAATATGAATTTACATTTTAAATGGTATGTATTTCGATGAGGAAATGGTGCTAATTTCAGTATTTAGAGATGTGTTTTTAGGCACAGGTGGCAGCTTCTGCAAAATAGGATTGATTTCAAATGAGTCCCCTTATCGTACTACTTGGGGAGGTGTGTGTGTGCCTGTGTGTGTGTGTGTGCATGCACACATGTGCCCGTGACCCCACCTCTGAGTCTCACAAAAGAGTAAAGAGCCAAACTATTAAATTGTCAATGCAGGACTTGTTGGATTTTTTGTTTTTGCCCCCAGAGATATTTTAAAACTAGCTTTTCTCAGTATCAGATGTCCTTAAACCCACCAATTACAGTTTCCAATAATTAATTGTCCTAGGCTGAGTGATTTGATGATTGGCTTGAGGGGCATTCAAGTGAATAAGTATTTCTTGTGCCTCTGCTATGTGCAGGGCATGCATGTCCTTACTGGACATTAGCAGCAGGCTGCCTGGGAAAGCCCAGAGCAGGGGAGGTGGGCGGATGGCATATGGAGGGCTGGGCCTTTCCTATAGATTTTGGCACCCTTTGCCCAGGGCTCTGATTCTCCAAAGTGCCCTTTCCCTTAGGAGTAACTTCTAGGGGGCACTGACATTTTATCACTTAACCTGTGCGCTTTCAGGAAGTCTAAACTGGTTTCCAAAGTTACCGCGCTTGTTTGCCAGTGTGCGCAGTTTGCATACTTGTAGCTTTGTGTAGTGAGCTTGCGGGGGTGTGAACGCTGTGGACTTCAGGATCCTGGTAAGCGGGTATCCAAGCATAGCACCAAATAGGAAAGGCTTTAGCAGGATTGGTAGTACCCACTGGTGCCAGTTCATTTGAACTCTACAGAGACCCTTTCTCCAACTACTACCATCACTGGAAATGTCCTGGCTTGGGGTTGGGAGAAGGAAGAGGGACCAGCCAGTGTTCTTTGAAGATCTCAGGTCCCCTTCAGGGGCTGCTGCAGAGACTGAAAATGAAACTTGCAGAAACTCATGGCCACCATAGCTGCCCTTTGCTGTGTACTGCAGGCTTTTAGAAGCAAATGAATGTTTCGTGGCCAAATCATTTAACTGCTTGCTTGTCAAGGACTTCCAGTAGCTCTATGACTGATGATAATGGAAGTTGTTTTGGGAGCAGTGAGGTGGAATAATGTGTGTCTGGCTGGAGTGAATTGAAGCTGGTATTTTCTAGGTACAGTTCAAGTAATTTACTTCAAAAGTATGCTTAAACATTCATTTCCGTAAGGAGTGCTCAAAAGAATCTCGATTACATAGTCCAAAGTTTGTCTAAAACTTTTGCTTAAAAATAATCTTTGGCACATCAAAATTACCATGTCTCCATTTCTACCTTCCTTTCCTGATTCTAATCCATCTTCTGTAATTGTGATTTCTTTGTATGTCATATTAGCTTTTCTTCAAACTGCATTTAAATGTCTCTTAGTTTCCCCACCAGTTTCTAGTTGACCACCAGGATGTGAGAGTTAAGCCCTAGATATAAAGTAATATTTCTTCTTGGGATATTTGCTTCTGTAATGTTCAGTCTTTCCTCATTAATACTTCAGAGTTTTTTGATGAGAACATGGACTGTATCATTTTAGTAATATGTGTCATATTGAGGGCTGGTTGGCTGACATAGTTTAGATCAAAAATAATGAACAGAAATGGTATTCCTTTAAGAAAACATTTGGTGAATAGGTAGGAGGAAAATGTACTTCCAGTGCACACTGTTGCCTAAAGAGTATATATTCAAATGTTTGCTTTATGGACTTCTAGGAAATGCCCTGTCTTCCTTATATAAAAATAATTCTAGTAATTTCACATTTCTGGGTGTGGTCTCATTACTATCTTGTTATAGTTAAAGGGTGTACAAGATGAAACTTGAGATTAAAAAGAAAATACTCCTTATTGCTTTCGATGGTTACCGGAAGCTGTATGTTCCTTACATTTCTAAATGGACTTTTGTAGGGATGAAGGGAAATGTGTAGAAGGAATTCTGGAAATCTTTGACATGCTCCTGGCAACGACTTCAAGGTTTCGCGAGTTAAAACTCCAACACAAAGAATATCTCTGTGTCAAGGCCATGATCCTCCTCAACTCCAGTAAGTAACCACACAGCTGGGCCATGTTTTATGGGGGAGAGATGCTGTTTCTAGAGCTGGCATGGTGTTGAGGAGTACTGAATTTCTTTCTTTTTTTTTTTTTTTTCTGAATTTCGTATTTTATTTAAAAAGGGGAAAATGGCTTTTTTTCGGACTTTTCTGTTTCATTTTATAGGCATTTAAACTGTAGTTAACTTTTGGTAATTTGAATATGAATTATTCGTTGGGTGAATTACTGGTAGTAATTTAAAAAGTAGCTGAAACCACTCTACTGGAAAAGGAAAAAACGAACTTCAAAATGTTTACCTCTCATTCTTTTTTTGACATTTTAATTTATTTCATTGTGATGTAATTGACATATAACACTGTATTAGTTTCAGGTATACAACATAAATGATTTGAATTTTTTAATAAATTTATTTTTCTTTCTTTCTTTCTTTCTTTTTGGCTGCATTGGGTCTTCGTTGCTGCATGAGAGCTTTCTCTAGTTGCAGCGAGCGAGGGCTACTCTTTGTTGTGGTGTACGGCTTCTCATTGTGGTGGCTTCCCTTGCCGCGGAGCACGGGCTCTAGGCACGCAGGCTTCAGTAGTTGTGGCACACGGGCTCCAGTAGTTGTGGCTCGTGGGTTCTAGAGCGCAGGCTCAGTCATTGTGGTGCACGGGCTTAGTGGCTCCGTGGCATGTGGGATCTTTGCAGACCAGGGCTCGAACCTGTGTCCCCTGCGTTGGCAGGTGGACTCTTAACCACTGCGCCACCAGGGAAGTCCCAGATGATTTGAATTTTGTGTATATTGAGAAATGATCACAATAAGTCAACACCCATCACCATACATAGTTAACAAAACTTTTTTCTTGTGATGAGAACTTTTAAGATCTGCTTTCTTAGCAACTTTCAAATATGCAATACAGCATTATTAACTGTCGTCACCATGCTGTACATTATATCCCCATGACTGATGTATTTTATAACTGGACTTTCAGCCCCTTTTCAGTGTTTATACGGACCTTTTACATGGTTAACATGCATTTATATTTACTATTTTGGGTTCTGCTTTTACAAGTTCATTTATTCATTTCATTCATTCATTCACTAAAGATGTTGAGGATATATGTATTCCTGCCCTCCCATGGTTCATAGAGAAAACAAATTTGCTAAAAAGAATGATCTCAGTGCTATCACAAAGTGTGTACAGAGCACTGAGTACTCTGGGAAGACAGGAGGAGAAGTGCTGAAGTGGTTGCAGAAGGCAACGATGTTTGGGTGTTGAATGAGTTGATGGGCAGGTGGGAGGGCTAGGCAGGGAAGAATGAAAGGACGGGGGTAAGCCAGGAGCTGCAAGTCATGCCGTGGAAGAGCAGGGGTAGGTGGACAAGGTTGTAAAATGCAGTGTTGAAGATTACTGAGTGTAACTCCTGTTGAGAATTGTTGCCTGGGGCTTTGAGCAGCCCTAGAAGAGGGTCAGGCAGGGAAGTATCATGGACAGATAGGCATTCTTTTTTTTTTTTTGTGGTACGCGGGCCTCTCACTGTTGTGGCCTCTCCTGTTGCGGAGCACAGGCTCCGGACGTGCAGGCCCAGCGGCCATGGCTCACGGGCCCAGCCGCTCCGCGGCATGTGGGATCTTCCCGGACCGGGGCACGAAGCCGTGTCCCCTGCATTGGCAGGCGGACTCTCAACCACTGCACCACCAGGGAAGCCCCAGATAGACATTCTTGAAAGGTCACTCTGGCTTCCGTGCGGAGGACTGATGGGAGAGGGGAGAGACTGAGGCAACGGGCCTAACAGGAGTTATTAGGAACAATGAGAGCCAGAACTAAGTTGGTGTGGAGGGGCCTGGGAGGAAGGGACCTGACTTAAGGGAAATATATGGGTTAGAGGTGGGAAATGAGGAAAGCATCTAAGATGTATGTATGTTGTAGCTTTGCTGTTTTTTTCTTATTATATAAATAATACCTGGTTATTGTAAACATTCAAACAAAAGAAAAACATACAAAGAAGAAAATAAAAATCACTAGGAATCCCCCCTCTCCGCCCTAGATAACCACCATATCTTCGGTGACTGTTCTTTAACAGCTCTTGATAGAGAGAGATAGATACGTACACATATGCTCATATATAAAATTTTACATAAACAGCATAGCATCTTGTATTAAAAGTTATGGAAACTTTGAAGGAGGCTTGCTTTGATCCCATTTTTTCTTGATCCTTCCACCCAGACACCAAGTAGCTAATCTTAACAACCAGAGGGTAGCCTTTATACCTTCTTCCATCCTCTGATAATCATTTAAAATAATACCTCACCTCCGGTATATACACAGACCTTTTTTCCCCCATTTAAAAAACTTGGGACACTACATACAAATACTTCTTTGCATCTTGCTTTTTCCCTTTTCAGAGTGCTGTGAAATCCCTTCAGGACAGTGAGGAGAGATCTAACTCAGTCTTTGAAGCAAGGGCATTGTCTACATCGTTCAGCCTTTTCTCTATTGATGGGCCTTTGTTTAATATACTTTTTCTATTTTTTTTACCATTATAAACATTGCTACAATGAATACAGACGTATTATTTTACACACATTTCTAAGTTTCTGTGTAGTTTTCATCCTGTTCAGTTTGCTGTCTACCTGATGGTATTCAATCCAGATGCTGTACCAGGTATTGATTGCTTTGCTTAGCTGTTTACTCTTGTTGGGCCTTTAGGTTATTGTTTTTTGTTTTTTTTTTTTTCTTTCTTTCTCAAATAATATGTATATCCAGGTTTTAATTCTCAAGTGATGACTTACAGACTTCATTTGGGCAATGTATGGGGCTTTATTACCTAGATTTTATCCAATTTTAGAGCATAGTGTTTGAAACAGCAGAAATCTGTGAGATGGTATTATGCTACTTTATTTTAAATCAGACTAAGCAGCAGTTCCTGAAGCCAAAACTCAATGCAGAACCTGTGGCCACATGGGTCGCAGGCTGTCTCCTGATGTGGGAGCAGCTGACCTCTCCCCCTCCAGCCTATATTCATTTCCTCTCTAATAGGTGCTCTTGGGCATTGGCACTGGTTTTGATGAAAGGGAAACACATAGAGCAGTGCTTCTCAAACTCTCTATGGTGAAGCACCAGGTTTCTTTTTCTTTTATAATTTCCAAATTGTTATAGATAGTTACTTTATTTTTATTAGAGTATAGTTGATTTACAGTGTTGTGTTAGTTTCTGCTGTACAGCAAAGTGAATCAGTTATACATATATCCACTCTTTTTTATTTTTTTAACATTTAAATATTTATTTATTTATTTGTCTGCACTGGGTCTTAGTTGCGGCATGGGGGGGTCTTCATTGCTGCTTGTGGGTTCTTTGTTGCGGCATGCAGGATCTAGTTCCCTGACCAGGGATCGAACCTGGGCCCCCTGCATTGGGAGCACAGAGTCTTAACCCCTGGATCACCAGGGAAGTCCCTATTCACTCTTTTTTTAGATTCTTTTCCCATATAGGTCATTACAGAGTACTGAGTAGAGTTCCCTGTGCTATACAGTAGGTCCTTATTATTTATCTGTTTTATATGTAGTAGTGTGTATATGTCAATCCCAATCTCCTAATTTATCCCTCCTCCCCTCCTCCCTGGTAACCATAAGTTTGTTTTCTACATCTGTGACTCTATTTCTGTTTTGTAAATAAGTTCATTTGTATCATTTTTTTAGATTCCTCATGTAAGTGATATCATATGATATTTGTCTTTCTCCATCTGACTTACTTCACTTAGCATGATAATCTCTGAGTCCATCCATGTTGCTGCAAATGGCATTTTTCACTCTTTTATGGCTGAGTAATATTCCATTGTATATATATACCACATCTTTATCCATTCATCTGTAGATGGACATTTAGGTTGCTTCCATGTCTTGGCTTTTGTAAATAGAGCTGCTATGAACATTGGGGTGCATGTATCTTTTCAAATTATGGTTTTCTCCAGATATATGCCCAAGAGTGGGACTGCTGGATCATATGGTAGTTCTATTTTTAGTTTTTTAAGGAACCTCCATACTGTTCTCCATAATGTTGTACCAATTTACATTCCCACCAACAGTGTAGGAGGGTTTCCTTGTCTCCACACCCTCTCCAATATTTATTGTTTGTAGACTTTTCGATGATGGCCATTCTGACCGGTGTGAGGTGATACCTCATTGTAATTTTGATTTGCATTTTTCTAATAATTAGTGATGTTGAGCATCTTTTCATGTGCTTTTTGGCCATCTGTATGTCATCTTTGGAGAAATATCTATTTAGATCTTCTGCCCATTTTTGGATTGGGTTGTTGGTTTTTTTGACATAGAGCTGCATGAGCTGTTTGTATATTTTGGAGATTAATCCCTAGTCAGTTGCTTGCACATATTTTCTCCCATTCTGAGGGTTGTCTTTTTGTTTGTTTATGGTTTCCTTTGCTGTGTGGAAGCTTTTAAGTTTAATTAGGTCCATATGTTTATTTTTGTTTTTATTTTCATTACTCTAGGAGGTGGATCAAAAAAGATATTGCTGTGATTTATGTCAGAGAGTGTTCTGCTTATGTTTTCCTCTAAGAGTTTCATAGTGTTGGCCTTACATTTAGGTCTTTGATCCATTTCGAGTTTATTTTTGTGTATGGTGTTAGGGAGTGTTCTAATTTCATTTTTTTACATGTAGCTGTCCAGTTTTCCCAGCACCACTTATTGAAGAGGCTGTCTTTTCTCCATTGTATATTCTTGCCTACTTTGTCATAGATTAGTTGACCACAGGTGTGTGAATTTATTTCTGGGCTTTCTGTCCTATTCCATAGATCTATATTTCTGTTTTTGTACCAGTACCATACTGTTTTGATTACTGTAGCTTTGTAGCATAGTCTGAAGTCCGGGAGTCTGATTTCCTCCAGCTCCAATTTTCTTTCTCAGGATTGCTTTGTCTATTTGGGGTCTTTTGTGTTTCCATTTAAACTTTAGAATTTTTTTTCTAGTTCTGTGAAAAATGCCATTGGTAATT